GGTACTTCTCTGCCACTCCAGATGTCCTCATTCAACACCACACCTCGTCCCTTCCTCTTGCTTCCACAACTCTCTCCCAGATCTTCATCGTGTGACTCATCAACTTAATTCCCCTGAAGTTGCTACAACTCTGTACGTCACCCTTGTTCTTAAAAATGGGCACCAGCACACGTCTCCTCCATTCCTCAGGGATTCTCTCTCTCTCTCTCAAAGACACCACTGAATAACTGTCACTGCCATCCCTCCTAGACGTTCCATACCTCCACTGTGTGCCATCAGGTCAGCTGCTCACACGCAGTGAATAACAAAGAGCTGCAGGTGTAATCTGACGAGTGTGAGGTCAGGTGAGTGGTGACGCTGTCAGCGTGTCCATGTTCTGTGGATGAGCAGCAGAGTGAAGTAAAATCCATCAACGTATTTGGTCTTCCAGCTGGCGTGGCAGCACTGACTTTTTATTATAGATTTGAATGAGTCAGGAAGTTAAACGTAAAATCAACATCGTTCTTGTTTCTCGAAGGTTTATGTTACAACATTTACAATAAGTTTACAGACCCTAAACTATAACATTTCTATAGTGTTCAAAAGAAGCAGAAACTATGAAAAAAAATTATGAAGCGAGAACAAGTATGGAGAGCGTTAATCATCATATGTGCCAGAAAACAATAAAACTAAAAGTCTTAGTCAAAGTGATGATGGCACACCGATCTGTCATCTAATCTTACTGAAGAGTAAAAACTTCCAGCCTCACACGTCCACATGAATCTGTTCATATGTTGGGCAGGTGATATTTATGCTTTACTTGTTTCTTGACGTCCGGTGCTGGTGAGACGTTGCTGTGAGGTAACTGAGGCAGGTACTGAGCCTAAACAGAGGAAAGAATGTCTAATCATTTTTTAAACTAATATAAAAGAAGTAGAAGGAGAGACTAGGACAAACGTGACTGCTTTGTGTGGTTTTACCCCCGCCTGCCGGCGCCGGGAGCCTCGGTCATGTCGCCTTCCTGGACGCTCCCAGTTGGCACCTCCTTCGTCCTGAAAGTACGGCAGCTCCAGCAGCTCCTCGCAGGACAGCCGAAGGGACGGGTCCATCAGCAGGCAAGACTGGTTACACAAAAACACAGTTTTTAAAAATACCATCAGTGTGTTTAGTTGTCACAATTTAAGATGGCTGCCGCAGCTAAAGATTAGTCAGCGCATCAATGGCTATAACTCATTTTATGATTACTTGCAAATAGAATGTTTTATTCCGAGAGCTGCATCCCAAGACCTTTTGTTGGACCTGTTCTGGTAATCGGGCGGATGTGGATCGGCCCGGTCAGTGAGTGGCACAGAGTCTGAGCGTGGTCTGATCACAGGAGCTTTACAGAGGCTGACGGGCTTGAAGTCTGAGTCTGCACAAATCACGAGGAGCAAGACGAGGTGCTCTGTTCAGTCTGGACTGCAAATCCTGCAGACCCACTGAGCTCTGCTGGACCTGCAGCCTGCCACATGGCATCTACTCTGGTTATGTTCTTTATTTCCCATTTCCTTTATTTCTTTTTTAATAAATCGTCACAAAACACTTCTCTCAGAAATGTGTTATAATCCTGTGATGGACTGGAGACCTGTCCAGGTGTCCCCTGTCTCTCACATTGACTGCTGGACATGGACACCAGTGATCCCCGCAACCCGAAAAGGAAGAGGCGAGTAAAGATAATGAATGGATGGATGGATGGGTGTTGGATGGATGGATGGAAGATGGACGGATGGATAGATGGATGTTGGATGGATGGATGTTGGATGGATAGATGATTGCCGGATAGATGGCTGGATGGGTAGATGGATGTTGGATGGATGGATAGATGTTGTATGGATGGATGATTGATGGATAAATGGCTGGATGGGTAGATGGATGTTGAATGGATGGATGGATAGATGTTGTATGGATGGATGATCTCTCAACCTTGACCTCTCTAAGTGGCTTTAAGAATCTGTTGGACTCCTGGCAGGGACCAATGCAGACATGTTCCTTAGAATCCAGCTGGTTTTGTTACTTTTTTGCATCTTGTTAGTTAAAAAAACCTGTATGCCTTTTTATAGCTGTCTATTGTTGTTGTTGTTGTCCATTGTTGTCATCATTCTTTGTTGAAATCAGGTCTCTCTTGTAAATGAGTCCCCAGGGCTCAATGGGATTTACCGTCTAAATAAAGGTTGAATGAATGATGATGGATTGGATGTTGGATGGATGGATGGATAGATGGAGCTTGGATGGATGGATGATAGAAGGATGGATGGATGATGATGAATTGGA